GCAGGAAGAAGAGGAAACTCAGAGCTAATTGTTCTTGCCCTGAAATATGAATGTTAATATAATGAGTTAGCATATGGGCAAACAGTGATGCAGCACACTGCCAACTTCCCACATTTTCCACTTATGTTTATCCCACCCCCCTTTTTTTTTCTGGGGAAATGAACAGATGGTTCAAACAGGAAAGAGGCAGAGACGGTGCTAATGACCACTGTAAATAAGAGATGGAGGCATTCGTTCTCTGCTGAGCATTTCACGTACAATCCTTGAAATTAACTTCCAAAGCACATTTCAGCGTATTGTTCTAATTAATAGGCTAAGGCAGTTCTTGGTCACTTTTCCTTCCTCACCATATAATGTCTTAGGAAACAAACCCTGGAGTATACTGTTAACTTCGTATTTTAAGAGCACTTTGAAAAGAATTTGGACATTTTTAGCTACCATAACTAACGTACTTTCTGGCATCACTTTGGAAAAGAAATTTTGAGAGTTTCTTCTACGTGTTTCTCCTGACCTTCCTTAGATTCAGTGTAAAGAGCAATGTTTACCCATTGCATGAACATGGGAATCTTGGTATAGGTAGAAAAAAGTGTGCACATAGCATAATCGTCATGTTCTCTTAAAGGCTGAAAAATACATCTGCAGCAGTGATTAACCTGTTTTGAGCATCAGTCTGTAACTGCATGATTTTTGATTAATTTTTTTCTCAATAATTGATTTATTTTAATGTGGTGTGAGGAAATGCACATTTCCCACAAATCCATTAACTGTTTAACACATTAGGATTAGTACCTCGAGTCTGAAAGATTTCATGTTGCATGTCAGTTTGATACATCTACTAAGCAGGATAAAGAAAAGTGTCGAGTTCTTTGACAGTGACAAAAGTGAAAGTTCTTAAAAAGTTTTGAAATTTACTTCTGTGAAAGTTGGATATTTTCAGTCACCTACCAAAGAAGTTTCTATTACATGGAAACGTAGGAGGAAAGAAACTCCCAGATGAATTACCAGAACTAATTTTGTGGGGATATTAGGTCTTGGCACTAGGAACTCAATTAATAAAATCACATTAGAGTATTGTAGCCTCTTGTAAATGAGAAAATTACAGCTAACAGTAAAAAAATTAAAATGCAGACCAAAATATGTGCCCAAGCTTTTGGTATTTAAGATTCAAGTATTCAGGTGGCATATAAGCTTATCTAGATAGTCCTTTAAGGACACTTTCTGAATGGTTGGAAGACTGTAAGTGTTACCGTAGCGCATACGTTATCTACGGCAATAGTTAAAACTAGCAGCATTACAGAAAGTTTTAAGAGCTCATTTGCAGAGGAAATTACAACTGGAACTTTATTACTGTTTTATACAAAGGTTAGAAAATCAGAGTAATGATAAAAAATGCAGGATTATGGCAGGTCTGTGGGGTTTTATCTGTAAATTACTAGATGTACAACACTGCAGAAGATTTGCACAACTTCCATTGCGCTGGAGCCAAATGTGCCTGTTTCCATGGCCCCTGTTTGATTTAATGCAATCTGGATCCTTGGCGCATTCCCTAGCAGGCTCCTGGAATAAACTAGTATTTAGGCAAGGTGGATAACACAGGAATTAACTGTACGTACAAATGCTGTACTCCACCAAATTGATGTTATAGAGGCATCCCTTTATGTTCGTAACTCTCTTGATCATCAGTTGATGTGACACCCACGTAAGACCCCCAAGCTGCAACTACTGGAGGAAACATCGCAGCACTCTTGCAGTGTGGGAACTGGAAGACCACAGTTCACAGCTGCCATTTGTCTTTGGGAAAATTTTTATGGCTTTCTGCAGTTACCTTTAGATCAACCTGGATCTATTTTCCCTGAGGGGAAATCCTGGGTGGATCTGTGTATATGGAAGCATTGGTTTTCCACCTCTCTGGAGCCGTGGTAGATGAAAATGACCCTGATCCCTGAATAACTTCTTTGAATGAGTATGTGCCTCCTTGGGTCTGCAACACCGGCAGAAGTAAATAATAAGGACGTTTTCTTCTGTTTCAGACAATTGAAAACAAGGTAGCAGCAGGGCTGAGGAGCCATCTAAAAGAGGAACCGTGGCTATAGGCTTCGTGGTGTCCTACAGGGAAGCTGACATGACTGATTTCTAACATCTTATTTGGGACTCTCGATGTTATAGCCTGCAAGTGGCCTTCATCTGCCTGGTCTTTCAGGTTGCAATATTGTTGCCTCACCCGTTGTGGAGCTGGCAGCCAAATGCATATGGTGGGCAGGTCTTCCCATGGCACCAGGTTTGTTGGCACACCATCCTGGGATCAAGGTCCTCTCCCACCTGCTGGTTAAGTTAGACCTTGATGTAGCTCCTCTTCCATCCACTGAAGGTCAAAGTTCCCATTGCATTCACAGGCCACAAATGAGCCTTAAGTTTACATGGTGTTACGGGGTAATGTAGTACTCAGTCCTAGCTTTATTGATATGTGCAGTTAGATTAATGATTGCATGAGATTTCCATGAAAAACGGGGTTAGTTTCATCCTACTAAAAATATAAATGAAATTGCTTCTAAAAAAAGGCAGTACTATGTCCATTTCACGTGCTAACATGAAATGTACAGAGTTTCCTCCATGAGTTTTTGAAATTGTTATTCTGATGAAGAAAATGAGCATTTGACTAGTATAGTTCTTAGATACACCTTCTGCGTGAATGCTGTTTCTGTTTTTAATGGAATTTCCACTTGTAGGTCTGTTCACCTTAGTTTTCAAGGACACGCTCAGTTAACGTTACACACGCTATTGCATTAGTTTGGGGACATCTAAGGAACGATGAATCTTTTTCTTTCCATTTCTTTCTTCCCCCAACAGGCAAACTCTTTTCTATGCAAATAACCCCTCATTCTGTAAATATTTTAGCGATTCTCAAATTTCACAAAATATGGATAAAAGTAAATATTAAAAGTGTATTTGTTGGTACTTGTGCAAGGTACAACACAGGATGTGCTGCAGTGTAGGATGTGGAAAGTCAAGTTTCCTGCCTGAAACCAAAGGAGCAGTTGCTTTGATCACCCCACCTTTAGCTGGGAACACTGGGGAAGGAGAAGTATGTTGAAGGTGTGTGCCAAAGTGCAACTTGTAATGTAATTAGAGATTTGCTGGAGGGGATGGAAACAGACAAAAGTAACTGTTGATATGTAATCTTCCTTTTAAAGTAAAATCCTTAACTTTGAGACTTGCACTGAGATTTAATTCATCTTTACAGGAAGTTCATATTGTTCAGTGAACGTTAATTAACGTGATCGTGGTGTGAGCAATACTTGGATGTTCTTTAAGTTGGCACAGTTTAGCCGAAGAAGAACTCTCAACTCTTATGCAACGAGGAGCCACTATCTCTTGTGAAAACCAGATGTAGTTTGTCAGCTTCCCGCTGCTGCCTGTGCAATGCCAACCCTCCTCCTTCTGAGCCGAAACAATCAGTCCAGAGCCAGTGAGTACAGAACCATCACCGTAACAAGGCTCTGCATTTAGGAGTGCTTCAAATAAAGCCTTGCACAGCAATGTTATCTTAGCGCACTGGGTAGTTCAGAGAACTGACAGAAATCGTTTCAGCTCAGGCGTAAACGTTTGTTCTGGCCTAGCTCAGGGGTGACCAAAGCACACATTCATCTTGGCGTCCTTGAGCTGAGGTTGCACGGATGCTAAAATCCCACGCGTCCACCCTGCGGGTCATCACCCTCCCGGCCCCTCGCTTGTATCTGGGTGTCCCCGCCACTGCAGAAGCGCTCCTGGGGCTGCATGGTGCAGCCGCTCAGGGACTGGACCCAGCTGAACTCTCTGGTTGGGGTTTTCTGGTTTGTTTTACTTTTCAGCTGGATGTGTTCCCTGGTTCAGCTGACAGCACAGCTGCGTGGATGTGGCTGCTGTACGAGCAGTGCGGGGTGGGGGAGGGCAGGATCCCTCCTGTTAGAGGAAGCACAGATTTATTCTGGGTTAAAATGACTGTGCAACCACAGCATGAGTATTGCTAACCCCAAGCATTCAAAAAATATGAGTCAGGCTTTGGAATTACCTTTTTTTTTTTTCTCTCTCCCTTGGTGATGGCTTTTGTAGTATTTCAGATGTTCTGTGTTTTATAGGTAGGTGTTTTGTTTAGAATTTGGAAAACTGTTTGGTTTGATCTGTAAATATGTGAGGAAAATGATGAAAACTGTTGAGTCAATTCACAGCTGGATTCTCAGTTTGCTTGCATAAGTATTTAAGTATTCCTAGTGTAACCTTTTATTCATAGTGATTCAGACTTTTGAATTACATATAATATATGGAAAAAATTGTTGCATGTAAAAGACCTTTATGGCAATTAGTTTCTAAGAATCAGTGTTTGAGCAAGTGTAATGCGTTCATCCTTGAGTTCAGCAGTGTGTTTTTTCTCAATTACCGCAATGGAGAGGCTGGCTGTGGATTTTCATTTAGATATAACTGCAAAAGTTTGCAAAATGGGGCTAATACTACTAATTATTGGGCAGATACCGAATTAATGAATTGGAGCAATACTTAGAAACGTAATCAGAAATTTTAATGCTATTATGCTACTTCTCAGTTCCTGTATATAAAATGTGAAAGTTTCTTTCCTCTCAAAAATCATGAGGTTCAACCTCATAATAAGGTTCCATGGAATGAAAAGTGTGCTGAAAATCTTGAGAGCTGGGGGACTTGCTATTATGCCCATCACTACTCTATATTTGCACAGGTGTTTGCAGGTGTACAGGTCTAACCACGGCAGTTTCATTTCACTTTTTAACCTTTTGTTTGTCTCTCCAATCCTTCTTTTTTCACATATAATAAGAACAATTATGGATTTGTACAAACACCATGGGGTTTAGACCCAAATATAGCTGCGTAATGCTAGAAATCTTCAAATATTATATTTTATATTTTTCTACTATTGAATTTCTAGATCAAAAAGCTCTCCATATGTTCCAAATTAACTCTGGACGTATTTTGAAATCCATATCTTTTAAGGGCAATCTGTCATTTTCAGTAATGTGTTTCAACCTCTTGCAGCCTGTTTGTGTGAGAGGGAGTCTTTTGTGAATACTCCTCTATGAAGCAGCACTGGTAGTTGCAGTTTGCTCACAAAAACTCTGGGTGGTCTTCAGTTTTTATTGTGCCATTCAGAGTTTGAAAGTGTGACAATAATGTACTACAAGCAACACTGTCTGCGTTATGCTTGAAGTAACAGCTACTTAAAAGTATTAGTAGTCCAGTTTTCTGTCTCTTTTCCTTTACTTAAAAAAGAATTTTTCCCTGAAATTTACCTCTGTTTCAGAAAAGGATTCTTATAAGGTGTTGAAAAGGATTCAGTAATTTTAAAACTCCCCCAAACGTCCTGCCTCATTTGGTCTTTCTGACAGTGTTCAGAAGAGCTGCAGCTGACCATAACTCAAGTGTTGCTGGGTGGTGCTTAGGTACTGATGATGGCAAAGAGAAAAACCATACAAAGTTATCTCGCAGTAGCAGAAAATGAGGGACGTAATCCTGATGCTGAGCATGGTAAAAACAAATTAGTCAGCATTACATGAATTATTCTCTGCTGGTGGATCCAATGACACCTTCCCGGTCAGGACTGGTGTGTGAAGAAGGGTGTTTTGCTGATGTGTAGGATGCTTTGGCAGTCGGAGCTGGCAGCACAATCTTGAGAGGTCTGCTTTAGCCGTGAGTTTAACTTTGTGTCCTGTTCTGCCCTCAGGTTAAGGGAGAGGAAGTATAGTTTTATAGCAACCATCTCCATCAGCTAGAGTACTGTGGTGAGGGTAGCTGAGCTGGAGCAGGCAATATGGTCATCTTGCTTTACAGTTAAAGAAACTTTCTGTGCACTGATATGCCTAAATCCTTGGCTATGCTCAGAGCAGGACAAAAGCTGAAGCCAAATATTCAGAAGATTTTTCCCTCACATTTAAAAATAAAATAAAATAAAAAATCACAAAAATGCCGAAGAAAAAAACCCCCCAAATGAACATGTGTGTCCCCACCCCTAAATCACCACCACCTCCACCAAAACAACCCTCCTGTAGATCTGAGCAGATTAGCAATCTGCTTAAAATAAACCAAAAAACAAAGGACGTGTGTGTGGAGAAAAATAGCTGAGGTATTTCACATCATGCCAGTGTTTTCCAGTTTATGTGGAAACTTGGAGTGAAAGTTTTTGTATTCTGGCTGGCTCTGCTCCGTGTTGTTAGTGCCCTAACTTTTGTTAATATCAACTATAAACATACACCTTTCAAGTTGATCTGTGCAATGATATACAAGTGGCTGATTTCACAATTAAAATGATGTTTTCATTATTTCTCTGTTTGTTATATCTCAGTGACGCTTTCTGCTGCCACTCCTGCTTACTTTCGAGGATTCACATTGATCGCTCTCAAGGAAGGAAAAGAAGGTGACAAAGAAGATGACCATGCAGGAACTTTTCAGGTGAGAGAACTTTCCCTAGGCGTCTTCCTCTCTGTATGCCTGGCTCAGAGAGATTTATTTGCACAGCAGAATGCAGACTATGCTTAAGTAAGGATAGGTATCTGTGGATGTTGTCATGAGAACAACATAGCACATTTTATAGTCCATGGAACCTCTTCAAGGGTCAAGGCTTTTGTACCTTGACTTCAGCTTCCCTTCCTACCTTCTTGCAGTCAAACACGAGCATCAAGTATTTGAACTAGAGCCTAGGACACCTGAATTTGTTACCCAAAGTGAATATGAAAATTGTTTTATTAACGTTTTGCTTTTTGTATTTCTTTGCGTAGATATTTTTTCCATTCAGATGCAGATTATGGCTCTGAGAAGTGTGTTTGCCACAGCTGTAATGACTGTTTTATCAGTCATAAATTAGATTCTGCTGTTTTACTGATGCTCAGTAGTACTTTACTTAACGAACACATTCAGTGGGATGAAATGTTGTTTATCATTATTTAAAAGGATCAGAATCCAGAGCAATGATTCACAAAATAGTATTTGCAGCTATTTCAAGATCATGTTGCATGAAAGGAATTCTGGAAACTGAGAATACACATCATATTTATGCAAGTAGGTAGAATGTATGTAGGTTTGTTGATTGTCAGATGAGGTATTGTTTGCTATTTGAATTTCCAAACTGAGAAATATTGTTGAATGATATTGATTTTAATTTTCAGGATTGGTAATAATATTGATACTAATTTTAATACTGATTTATAGATAGAAGATTTTACTTGCCTCAAGGAAGCATTTCTGTTTTCAAGGGAATCACACAAAAGTTCTCATTTTGTTGATCTATAAGGAGACAGAAATAATTTTAATCCTAGTATGTCTTTCTGAAGCATCTTCTGGTTTTTGTATGTAGCAAATGTGATGTGCAAACTCAGTATGTATTGGTCCTGTTTTCCTATTGAGTTTGCCTAGAGACCTTTTTCTGGTTTTCATACATTTTGTAAGAAAATCTAGAATAAGCAAGAACTTTTTTGATGTTTGAATAACTCCATCTTCCTTAAAACTAAACAATTTCCTAATATTATTTAGGAGAAATCTGTTTAATATGGAGAGTTTGTGGTTTGCTGTTGGTTTGTTGTTTTTTTCTTTTTTTTTAATAAACTACAATTAAGACATCAGCTAATGTTAAGAAGTAGAAATGGTGGTGCTTCATCTTTTTTAAAAGAAACTTCTCACCATTCATTTCTGTATTTCAGTTGTTAATGTCTCTATAGCCATGGTTAATGGGAAAGACTTGGCCTGCGTTTTGCCTTTATGGCCAGGTGTACGTCTAACTCATAGTGAGAAACTCTCACTGAGCTTTGCTGAAGTACAGAGGAATTTTGAAGGCAGCAGAGTGGGATGCAAATGGAAATTCCATATAGATCAAAAAAAAGCCCAGTGGATCTCAGTGGAGGGAAGATTGTTTAATTAGCTTTATTGTATGGATTGCAATCCATACAATCAGTATTCTAACTGGCAGATGAGAGTTTCAAATTTTATGCATAACTAAATATGTATTTCTGTGGCACAATCAGTACTCACTGTGCTCATCCCACACTAGCACAATTAACTGAAGTTCATTCAGGTAGTGCCTGCCAGTTCTGTCTGTGTTGGTACAGATTTAAGATTCTTATTTAAGTATCCAAGGAATGCTTACAGTAATAAATACCGATGTCTCTTGTATCACACTAGTCACTAGAGGAAGAAAAAATAAGTTTAGTTCAAGGGTTTGTGCTGTGTTTGTATTATAATGTGAAGATCCTAATGGTGTCTAAACAGCTGTGCAGAGTAAGAAAGAACTGTGTACAATAGCTTGCATGCCACTCGCAGTTATGTATTTCCTGTGCTCGGAGAATACGTTACTCAGTGAATTACCTAGTGGAACAGAACTTAGTGAAAATTCCTTAATAGTGGTGAGAGAATACATGCTGCTTCTGGAGTAGTGGTATAAGCCTCTGCCTCTGTGAGAAGACGTATTTACTGTTCAAATAATAGTCAAAGCACATGAATGCACTGCATGAGGCGAAGTGCTTCATTCATACCAGCAAGACTTTGCAGTATAACCAGGATAGAAAGAAATGAAAGTTTACCAAATAAGACATATACTTTTCCCCTATGCCTCAGGGACTGTAAACCACCATCTTTTCAAGCCTGTGAGTGCCACTTTGAAACCATGAAGTATGGGTTGCAATGTCTTTCATGGGGAAAACCTGAATCCACACTGTACTCGGGTCAAGAGCCCACTGGGACTGTGGCTTCTGTTTTGCATAGCTATTGAGTGTCAATAGATCAACAGGTGTAGTGCCTCAAAGTACTGTAGAGGGGCATGTGCTAGAGTAACAAGGTGTTAAATAAGGACTAACATCTCAGTGACCGATATGGACACGGTACACTCAGGCTGGAAAAACATTATTTTCAGTGATTCCAGTCATGCTGCAGCAGGTTGAGTGCCGCAGCCCAGTGCAAAGGATGAACGCAGAGTAAGCAGCTGCCATGAGTTCACCCTACAGGAGCTTTGCTCTGCCTTTTACAACCTCCTTATGGCTCATTTACTCTTGTCTGACTCTGCAAGTCAGCAGGTACGGTCAATCTTCATTAATCATTAAGCTGCAGTGTCTTGATCCTATAAATAGCACAGCTGTTAAAATTCTTGGGCAGACAGGTATTTTTTTTTTTGTACGGTTTTTGTTACCTTTATACTTGCCATGCAGTAGAGACCTTTAGAGAAGTGTAGTTTGGACTTCACCATTCTAAATCTGTTTTCCTCTGAGAAAATGGAGACTTTAAAATCTGATTTTACTACTGTTTGTTTATTTAATGCAGCCACACTTCTTTTTCTTTGTCCTTGTAGCACACCCAGGGCATAATTTGGCTTTAAAATAGATGAATCGCATTGTCTTCCACAAACATGCAAACATATGTTAAATAGCTAAATTAAATATGGTTGGGGAATTAGAGATGCCAAACTCAGTCATAGAAGTTTGGGGATATAATAATATGGCTCTTACTTATGCCAGTGGTAATTGTACAACCCGGGTGCAGTGTGGCACTTGGGGAGCATTGGATGTCATGTCCCATTGGCCTATTTACACAAGCCATTCCCAACTGTTGTCTTGCAGTCTGCTGATCTTTCTCTTTTGCAATGTTTAGCAACAGTCTGCAAATTGTTTGAAGGCAAATTATGCTCGAGGGCAACAATCAAGCACTGATTGGCTATAGAACAGTATCTGTACAGGCCATTTTAATCAAGATATGTATGCAATGTAATAGATTTAGTCTGGTAAATAATGTAGAATAATAGAAGTTTAGTGCTGAATCTCATCTCATCTATCTTCCTCATTCTCTGAGGAAGAATAAATATTCTAAGGAAATCTTTGGTGGGTATTTTCTGGATCTGTTTTGAAGACGTATTCAACAACAAAAAGTTCATCTCTCCAAGTGGCCTGTTCAAACAGTTCAATATATTGTATAGAAAATTTAAGGAAAAATTTATAGAGTTTTTACTAATGTCTAAACTGAGTCTTCACTAATAGTGGTTAAATTTGTCTCTTAGATTATCTTTCTAAATTAAGAATTTTCTTGATATCTTATGAGACAGTTATTCTGAAGTTTCCTTTATTCTGTCTCCAATTCCACATGCTGTCTACCTGTTTCTTATTAAAACTTCCATATTTGCATTGTAGTGGATCTTTTTTCAATTTTGCCAGTTCTGCACTCCAGTGAGAGTTCAGTCTTATTTACATTCCCCAGAATTGTACACAATAGTCAATCTGAACTTTCAGCATAAAATCATACAGAATTTAGATGCAATAATCCTTTGGAGTATCATAATTGCTTCTCTTTTCTTCATGCAGAATCCTCTAAGTGTATGCAACTTGCCTTTATTGCAGGAGCATCTCGGTATTGTACAGGACGTCCACAATAAAGTCCTAAATCCTTTCCTGCACGTACTGCTGCCTACGTTGTTGACGTGGTTTAGCCCCAGCCGGTAGCTCATTTTGCATTTCAGTCCTCCTAAGTGTAAAGCTTTGTATTTGTCTTCCTGAATTTCATCTTGACTGCATCTTCAATTTATCAAGAAAGTTCTGAACTACAATCCTATCCTTCAAAGTACTTACCATTCCTCCAAAATTGGTGCTATTTGTGGACTTTATAAATATGTGCTTGACAATTAAATAGTCAATATAAAATACTGTGTGCAAGTGTGACCTGCTTTTCTCATGTGCAATGATAAACTGAGTCATAAAGACCCAAAATTAGATACTGCTCTGTATTTTTTTTGGCATAAAAATCTAACAACAGATTATGTCCACTATTTTTTGTGATAGTTTACTATTAAATCCATTCATTGTAGTAGTATTCCTGGAGATGTCCTTTTAATTTTCTTTGCTCTAGAGTGAATCAAGAAATTCTTAGTTTAGGTCACTGAATTTAACAACTCACCAGTGCCAAACCAATGTAAGAACGTAAGCAAGCATGGCAGTAGCAAGAGTGAAGTTTTCATTAAACATATGGCATTTATAAAAGCTAGCGACATGTCCTGAAGAAGAAAACATTTAAGGAAACTTGGAGTAGTAGTGATACAAGTGAGGTAAGTGACCTTTATTCTAAGTTCTTCTTCTTTAGGTTTACCCTGAAACAATAGCCCCAAATATCGCCTTTGTTTTCAAAGACATGCTGACCGGTGCCTGTTTCTTTTGATGCTGTTCAGCTGACTGATAGGCTTACCAAAGCTTTTAGATAGAAAGGTATTTTTACAAGCTCTTAGAAAAGCAGTTTCTCAATTGCAGCGTTCCAGCATTTTATAAGAATCTTACATCTTTTTAAGCAGTTGATATACTGCGTTTTGAAAGAAGCAACCTTAAAAGGCTTTTAGCGATGTCTCATGATTTATTAGTTCCTTATAAGAAAAGTTTGTTTATATTTTTTAAAAATCTTTAATGACTGCAATTTTATTAAGTTTTTTAACA